AATGGAACAAAATTGAAGACCCAAATATGAGTAAATGCAATTTCAGCCACCTGATATTTGACAAAGGGGCCAAGAACATTCACAGCAAATGGAGCTGGCAAAACTGGATCTCCACCTGTGGAAGAATGAAACTAAACCCCTATCTTTCACCCTGCACAAAAGTCAACTCCAAATGGATCAAAGACCTCAATGTGTAAAGCCTGAAACTCTGAAACTGTTAGAAGAAAACATTGGGAAAAACCTACAAGATATAGGTGTAGGAAAGGGTTTTCTAAACCGGACATCAATTGCTCAGGAAACGGTCAAGAATCAACAAATGGGACCTCATTAAACTAAAAAGCTTCTGTACATCAAAAGAAGCAACCAAGAAGTGAAGAGAAAACCCACTGGGTGGGAGAAAATCTTCACCAGGAACACATCTGACAGAGGTTTAACATCCAGAATATATAACAAACTCAAAAAACAATCAAGAAAGGAAGTAACTCAATTAAAAGATGGGCTAAGGAACTGAACAGAGAGTTCTCAAAAGAAGAAATAAAGATGACTAAGAAACATCTTAAAAGGTGTTCATCATCATTAGTAATTAGGGAAATGCAAAGTAAAACCACTTTAGGATGTCATCTTACCTCAGTCAGACTGGCTAAGATCAAGAGAACAAATGATACCAAATGTTGGAGAGGATGTGGGGAAAGAGGAACACTCATCCAATGCTGGTGGGATTGTGTTGGGGGACCCTGCTGCTAAGGTTGTAGTCCTCCACGTCTGGATAGCTCTCAGGGGCTTGGCGCTATATGGAAGGACTCCCTTTCTCAGTGGGAGTCTCCTGCTCTCTACCTGAGTTACCTGGAAAGTGCCACCAAGAAGGGATGCCTGACCTTATTTGGAACATGACCTTTGGCATAGTTACCTGCAATAAAACTACCCCCCAGGTTTTTTCTATAGGATAATTAGGCATTGCCCTATAGTCAATGATAGGATCCCCCCACCACATGTAAATAAAGCATGAAGCTTTGGCTGCTGCCTCCACACTGTATTTTCCCTGACCCCCACTGAATAAACGGAGCGATATCACTGAGTCTGGAGCTGTATCACTGAATCTGCCTCCCTGGGAAGTCTTTTTCCATCGTGCTCACTGGCCATCCTGAACCTGTTCATCGCTTCTGCTCAATTTGTCCTCATGGATCAGTGGCCAATGTCCCACGAGGGGAGGGAGAGACCCACAGGATTGTATGCTTGTTCAACCCCTGTGGAAAGCAGTGTGGAGAATTCTTAAAAAACTAAAAATGGAGCCAGGG